ATAAATTCAAGCCATAATTTTGTGACTCCACAAGGTATAGATCGTTAAGGAATATGACCAAAATTATAAGACAAAGTGAATTTATGATACCAAATACAGATTGTGCACGACTCTGAATGGGTGCAGAGAGACAGACAGAGCAGGATGGTAACTTCCCATATCCAGGAGCAGGGTGCTGAGGAGTGGATGTGATACAAGTTATCCCTGGCTACAGAAAAGAATCAGAAAGTTAAGACCTAAACACAATTCTAACAGGCCTTGGAAAAATCAGGCAGCTGAACTGGAAGGATCAAGCTTCTTTTGGTGTAGTTTGCTTTTATTCTGGATTTGCAGGCATGTCTGTTTGGGGCTAGTGAATTAACCTCTTTCAGTCAGCTTACTTTTTCAGCTGTCTTAACCACTGTTTCCTGCACAATTGATTCGAATCAACTGCAGTCAATTCAATCTCTCATTAAAATGGTTGAAAACAATGAACTAGATTTCTTTCTCTACTTGTGTCTTGGCGGCCCAGAAGTGTGGGTAAGGTCTTGGTACCTTAGCAGCACAGTCTTCAAAATGAGTGCTCTGAGTCTTGGGTAGGGTTGTAGGTGGGGGGGTTAAGGGACAGATGTTCAGAGGTTGTGAGTTTGGGGGAAAGTAGAGAAGGAACATGAAGACAGTGAGCAACATTTCCAGGGAGGAGTGTTAAGTCTAGGGATTTTTGAAAAATATTTACATATTTGCACTGCTAAAATAAGAATGAATCCTGCTAGCCTCCTGTGTCAAAGGGAACATGATTTATAAGCGAACATTTTATAGTTGGAAACATATCTTGCCTACACAAGGTGAGCAGGGCTCATTTGGTGAACCAAATACAAGGAAGAATTGGGGCAAAAAAAAAAAGAGGGAGGGCCAACCAGTCCCCCTCTACCCCCTTCTCCCTGTGTTCTTTCAAGTCCTTCCACAATTTCCCAGCTTTCCCTACATGCATTTCCTTTTTAAACTCAAAGAAAAAGGAAAGCACACAAGGCTAAAACCTCAGACCAAGGTAATTTTCCTCTTTTCTTCCAACTATTATATTTGAAATAAAAAACAAGCTGACTGTTTAGATCAATTCATTATGGTGAACCCCCAGTACTTCAAAAAATGGAATCTGTGAGGGGATTTGACAATTCATTGCCCAGGAAGCTAGAAAGAGTTCCTCACTAAATCAGTCAGCAAAGTGGTCCTGTTACTGCAGATAGGTGGCCCGGAAGGAAAAACAGAGCTCTCTGGGATTGTAATTAATTTCTGGAGGGAGAAACAGTGGCACAAAGTATTCCCTTGACTTCCTCAAGAAATAAGCAGGGGAACTCAAACATGAAGGGCTCTGTTGGTGAGTTGCTTCCTAACACCTTTCCTTTTCCTGATGACATCCACTAAGGCTCTGCTTCCCACAGTGCTGGGTGTCCCTCCCCCTGCCCACCTTCCTCTGTCCCTTCCATGCCTGTGCAGGCAGTGGGAGGCCCCTGACTTCACCAACTGCGTTTATAGCATCCTAATAGCTTCCTGACCCATCTGGTAATTAGCCATTAAAAAAAAAGAAGCCACAGAATCCCTCCTTCAGAATGATTCTTATCTCTAAGACACTAATGAAGCAACTCAGGGCAAGGAGGAAGGAACAGGTTTGGATGGGAGAGAGCTCACAGGGAATATAACGTCAAAAGGGGGCTGCTTCCTAGCCCTTTCCTGGACACGGCCCACACCTCACCTCCTTCCTAGAGAACATCACAGCCCTTAGCTAAGCAGACAACCCCAGAGAAGCACTGCAAAGCCACTGAATGAACACTAAAACTGGCAGGTGCCTGCAGTGTCAGCTTGAACTTCAGCCTGGGCAGTTTGTAAAAGGGGGAAGGGTAAAGGCAGAGATCTTAATGGGAAAGGGGAGGTTGGCTGTCCACGTCCAGGGCATGGCTCTGCCTTTGGTCCCAGTGCTGTCTCCTCCTCTATGGGGTCCCACTGGCAGGGTCTGACTTTGTGCTCATCGGCTAGACTCATTGGAGAGTTGGTAGTTTCCCCTAAAGACGTTGAACTCTCATTCAGAAACATGAGGGCAAGGTCTAATCGCTTCTGGAAAAAAATGCAATCTGTTCTTCCCTGTAAGGGAGAGAGAGATGTAAGGAAGTCTTGCCCTAAGGAATGTGTGTTCATGGCGGAGGGCAGAGGGCTGCAAACACAGGCAAAGCAGATGGCCTATCCATTCTTTCACTCCTTTTAAACTCCCACAAATATCCTTTTCAGTGAGGCTGTTCTCATTGAAACTCCCTCAGACTCAGGTCTGCTTGTTCAAGTAGCATCTTCAGGGAGGATCATACACCAGAGTAGCTCTACTTCCCTTTTCAGCAAGGAAAAGTCATTGCTAAACTATTTCAGAGAATCTGTAACTAAAAGTACATCCTACATCCCCTTCTGACCTCTGACAGTGCCCCTTCTTCCTGCTCCCCTATTTCCCTAGGGAGAACTCACTATGGTGTGAATGTCTCTCTCCTCCATGCTTCAGTCACCCATTAAGGGGGATAAACACCTCCCAGGAGTGGCAAACAGCAACCTCAGAGATGTGAACAAGTAGAACACCCCCCCCGCCCCGCCCGCCGGCTCCACGAGTCTTAGTGATCTGAACGAACGCTCACCCTGATGTGCTTGGAAGGAAAAGGGTGTGATGGGATGCGGCTGTGCCCAAGTTACCCAGACTGAAAATGAAGTTTCCTGGATCCACTCAAGGTCATTCTCAGAGCATCCTTGATGGCTCTCAGGCTCTGTCCTCCTTCCTCCCACCCTCCCCTGCACATGTACAGACAGCCCCAGGATGATGGTTTCCAAAACACTCACAGGCAAAACTGCAGTCTCTGGAAGAGGTGCTGTGAACTGAATAAAATCAAGAGGTAAACTTGAGGGAGAAACATCCTATACTTATATAATGATCTGAAGGCCTGAAAAACACCTCTTTTCCCATGGTTACCTCTCTTCCCCTGCCCTAGAGAGAAACTGCCCCCAGGATATCACTAATTACACTTATTTGGGATAGGGACATCTGAGCAGTGAAGAGCAAAGAAACATCAAGAGGAACAGTGACTTATCCATGGTCACACGCCAATGCCAGAATCCAGACATGTTTGCTTGCAGCAGCTGAGACCCTGGTAGCATCAGAAGAAATTATAAACAAATTCTGTATGAGGCAGCAGGGTGAGGATAGCATGCAGCTTTCTTTAAGAGTGCAGAGAACAATGGCTCAGAGAAGAGACTGTGCCAAAGAAAGGTTCATGGGCATCAACTGTGAAGAGGAAAAGGTTTGATAAGAGAAGCACACGAGAAAGAGACTAACCTCTGGGTCCTGAGAAAGAGGTGGATGGATGAGATGGACCAGCACATCTGCAATAGGAAGACACCTGCCCAAGAGCAATCCCTGATCTGTTTTCCAAGATAGAATTCTTTTCCAGAGAAGACTCCAAGGTGGGAGTATCTTGCCTTTATTTTGCTCACTGCCCCATCTGTCCTCTGCATTTGAGAGCCAGAACTGATCGCAGGCCATTGCTCATAATTGTCCCACCGCTGCCCAAGGCCACTCCAGGCACAAGGAGGATATTGAATAAAGCTGTATTACCTGAGAGATAAGGTGGAGGAGGAAGAGAAGTGGGTGGCAATGTAGAGTGATGACAGTTATAAATGGGTAATCCATTTGGAATCACCCTAAGTCCAGCACTTGAGTTTAGAATACCTACACTTCATGGACTTGACTCAATAAAACCTTCCAGGAAGACTCATCTTTTCTCAACACCCACAGTATCAATTAGAAAAGACAAAAAAAAAAAACAACAAAAAAAAACAAAACCAGAACACCAAAACCAGCTCTTTCAACATGCCTAGAAATTTCTATCTGTCTTCCTTTCTTTTCAGCAAGGTAGAAGTGATTAATGTCCACAGCAGTGAAGGAAGTTTTTAAGCCATGAGAATAACAAACAAGGTGTGGAAATGAGCTAGATATGGATCAGTCAGAACAGGTTCTGGTGGGCCAACTCAGAAGCAGAAATATTGGGGGGGGTGTTTCTGGATACTAGGGCAATATCCACATCATACACCAGAAAAGGAGGCATTTCCTGGGGCAGAATTTTCAGGATCCCCAAAAGGATTCTGTGGAACCACATCCAGCCATTCATCTCTATGAAGAAGACACTGTCAACAGGGCCAACTTTGCATCCTGTGGGTTCTGGGTTTCTGAAGGAAAGCCAGAGCTCTTGTTGTCCCCTCGCTTTAATGTCCCAATGGGCCCTGGTGAGAGCCAGAGCACTAGGTGGGAGGTGGTCAGAGCGGAACTACGGAACCACAGACTACCATGGCCTAAGTTTTGGCAGGAGGCAGCCCAAATTGTCTCTCCCAGATGTGCACTGAAAGATGCCCACCAAGTTGAACATGGCAAGAACTGCTAAGTCAGAGAGTTCTGAAGCCTACAGGGCTTAAAAGAACAAGTCCTCCCGTCTCAGCAGGGAAGAGAAGCATCCCACTCGAAGACACACCATCTGTGCTTGGTCAACATGAAATGGAGAAACCTTTATTTCTTCTTCCGAGCAGAGGCAGCCTTTCCCTAAGACCCCACTTCTCAGGCCTCAGACTATCTCAGTGTACCCTAAAGGACTTGATCCTCTTTTCAGTAAGATTCCAACATCATTTACGGCCCCATTGAAGATGACACTCTGGTCAAGGGCACTAGGAGCCTAGATCAAAGTGCCCACATCATGAAAACCCAACCAGAATTAGTAAAATTCTTATACTTGAACTTCATGGTCTCCACTGATTCTTTCATTGCCTTTTAAATCCCACTACCGCCAAAGCACGCATTTCTGGTTCCTAGGGAAAGGAGAGAGTACCGGATTTATTGTATGCAAAAGAAGTGACAGCGAAAGTGAATCAGAAGGACCAGGGGGTGCCAGTGGAGGGGCCCAGGGAGGCCACGGGAGACCAGGGCAGGCTCTAGCGGGGGCTCTCACCTGTGGATGTTCATCTCCCGTGGAGGACGGTGGGCCTTGTCATAGGAGACCTTGGCGAAGACGCCGGCCACGATGACGAAGGCGATCACCCCGCAGGTGATGTAGACGGTGAAGTTGGTCTTGTCCTTCTCCGGGTCGTACTTGTTCTCGGGCCCCGGCGACACCACCCTGGTGCTGGGCGTCTGTACCCACACGGGGCTCTGGTAGTTGGTGCACTGGCGCTGGTCCAGCTTCTCGTGGCGCTTCTTGCAGCAGAAGCGATAGTAGCAGGTGCCGCAGCAGTACAGGTAGCCGCTCTCGCTGTTGTTGCACTCGAACTCCTTGTCGTACTGGCCGCTCACGTCGTAGTAGCCCCAGCACGTCTCGTAGGTGACGGTCGCGCTGGCCGCAGCCGCCGCCGCCACAGCCGCCGCGGGCTGTCCCCTCCGGCCCCCTGCCTCCGCGACCCGGGCGGTGCCGTTCAGCTCGCGGCCGCCCCGGGCCAGGGCGCCCCCGGGACGCCGGCCCCCGACGGCAGCGGCGCCCGCGCTCAGGGTCCGGTTGGCGGCGCGGCCGCGGGCGGCATCAACGCCGGGCAGCTGGTCCAGGGGCTCCAGCGAGAGCAGCAGCAGGAAGAGGAGGCGCCGCAGCGCCATGGCGGGGCCGGGCAGGAGGGCGCGGGGAAGCTTCGCGGAAGGCTGCTGCCTTGGCCGGCGGGGCTCCGAGGGTGACCGCGTGGACTGGGCGGGCGGCGCGGGGCGGTCAGCGGCACTGGGGCGATGGCGCCATCGAGGCGCGGGCGGCGACGGCGCGCGGTGTGCACGGACCGGCCCGCGCGGGCTGCTCTGGCTCTCACGCCGCGCGCCGGCTCCGCGCTCCCCCTGCGGGCTCCGCGCGCCTCCCGGGCAGCCCCATCCCCCGCGCGCCGCTCGGCTCAGGCCGGACCCCGAGCGCGGCTCCGGGCGGCGGCGGCGGCGGCGGCGTGCTCCCGTCCGAGCGAGTCCTGCGGGACAAGACGGAGACTGGTCACGGGGTGGGGCGACTGGAGCTCCGGGGGCAGCAGGGAGCGGCGGGGAAGGAGCGCGCAGCCCTCGAGGAGCTGGGTCTGGACCGGGAGAGGCACGGAGCGGGAGCCGGCGCCCAGGATGAGCCCCGGGGGCCTTGCGCGCCAGGAACCGAGGGCCCCTCCAGGCGCCGCTCAGCCACCCGGCCCCCGGCGCGCTCCCGCCGCAGGCTGCTCCCGGGACGGAGCCGGCTGAGACTGGGGTCCGGCCGGGAGCGGGGGAGCGCGGCGGGCGCTCACTCACCATGCCCGGCTGCAACTGCAGAGGCGGCGGCGGCGAGAAGGGAGCGCAGCGGCCGGAGCGAGGGAGCCGAGCCGAGAGCCGCAGGCTCGCAGCCCGCACTAGTGCCTGAGCGTGTGCGAGGGAGCTAGGGAGACACACGCACTCACACACCCGCACACGCGGGAGCGCCGGGAGGGGAGGGGAGGACTCCGCTCACCGCTGCCCACGTTCACACGCCCGGGCGCCCGAGGGGGGGCGCGGTAGGACTTCTTTTCGCTCCCCCACCCCGCGCCGGCTCCCGGCACTTGAAGCACCACGTCACCAAAGCCCCGGACACTAGTTAATCAATATGGCGAATAGAGAGGGGTCCCAGGAGAAAGGCAAGGGTCCCGTTTGGAACCGGCCCGCGGCAGGGCCAGACCTCCCTGACCCTACCGCTTCCACTTCAGTCCTCTCTGCGGGTTACACCCTAGCCAAGCCTGAGATTGTGAGCTTCCAGAAAGGGAGTTGGGGTTTCCGCAAGCCTTTGCCTCTCCCTAGTGGTGATGCTGGCAGCAGAAAAAAAAAGGTCAAACCCATTACTATAGGTTCCTCAAACTGAGGCCAAGGGTCAAGGAGCTTGTCTGAAAGACTGGCTGCGCAGTGTGAAGAGCCTAGGCTCTGATCCCCTTGAGCACTTTCCTCCAGCATGCAGAGAGACACAAGACAGCCCCAGATCTGCGTGGAGTCTGGTATTCCCTCCTTCCCCTGCCCAGTTAGAAAAACTGTCCGGGTTTCTGAGACTCAGCTTTACAGTCCCTTTGCCTCTGGACTGAAATCGGTGTTGCAGCTAACTGGGACAGAGGGGACCTTTCCTGTGCTTGCCCCTGTCTGTAGAAAGGAGACATGAGTCTAACTTTCAAAGTTAGAAGGCCACCCCAAGAGGGAGTCACGAGTACAGTTTTTGGCATGTATCCTTGGAGAAAGGGGCGGGAGTGGGGATGCTGAGAACAAAAAGCAGTCACCAACACTGAAATCCCACAAGTCTGCCCAGCGTGTTTTGGTTGGAGACAATGACAGAATGTCAGAGCGATGGTGACAGAATTTTCCCTGAAACTAGCCCTTCAGTCCTACTCATATGTGACCCAAACCACACATCCCCATCCAGGACAGGCTGAGTTCCTCTTCTGGCAACCCTGGAATGGTAAAATGGAGCTGGAAGTCAGATTCTGTGACCCAAGAGGGAGGTCCTGACCCTAGGGTGGGGTGAGCATTCTCTGCCCTGGCATTCTCTGCTTGCTAATACCTCTTCATCCCTTCTCTTCCTCTGCATTTCCTCCTCTTCCCTCAACTTCATCTCTTCTTAATGATTCTGTTCAACAAAAGGTTGTTTAGTGACCACTCTCTACCAGGAACTGTGGTAAGTGCTAAGATAAAGAATAAGAAGGTGAGCCCATCCATTGGAAAGAGAAGTAATCAATGATTTTCACATAACATGCTTATGTTCCATGACAAAGGTGAGCAAAGTTTTCTGAGACTAGACAGGCACCCAGCTTAGCTCCTGGCAGGGAGAAGGATAGATGTCAAAGACAGCTTTCTCAGTGAAGTAACAAACAACATCTTGGAGAGTGATTAAGAGTTAACAAGGAACAGTAAGGGAAGAATATTTCCTGCAGAGGGAACATGAAAACAGGAAGCTATAAAGTGCTGAAGGTATGTGATCTAGGGATACAGTTTAGCAAAAACCCTGAGGAAGTCTTCCAAGTAAGAACAGCCAAAGGGTGTTGAATCCCTTGCCAAAGAACTCGAATTTATGCAGCAATTGATGGGAAACTACTGCTGGCTTTTAATTAGGGAAAGACACTGTCAGAATTACATGTTTGCTGAATTGCTAAGTGAAAAGGAGTAGGGAGCTGCTTAGAGTGGTGCACGCCTGTAATCCCAGCACTCTGGAGGCTGAGACAGGAGAATCAAAAGTTGAAGTCTAGCCTGGGCAATTTAGCAAGACCATATCTCAAAAAAATAATAATTGTTTTAGAAAAAGGCTTGGGATGTAGCTTACTGTGAAGACCCTCGGTTCAATCCCTATTGCTGTAAGAGAGACAGAGAAAGGGGGGGAGGGAACATGAGAATGAGAGAATGAAGTAGATGACTGGTAGTTGGTGCTCACAGTGGAAAGGAAAAGCAGGGTCAAAGATTTGGTTCAGGATAGAGTTAGCATAGGTCATGATGAAGCACCTGTGCTAGAGTTGCGTGGAGCTAGCTGTCCAGCATAAGAGTTGAAAACTTAGGAGAGAAGATAGGCATATATACATTTGAAAATCATAACATATTTGTAGACAACATTCCTACACTTTTTTTATTCATTAAGTTTGTTGGTCCACCTCACTCCAGAAAGAATGGCTGCTATCAGGAAACCAACCAATAACAAAGGCTGTGGGGACAGAGGAACCCTGCTCCCCTGCTGGTGGGAGTGTAGACTGGTGTGACCACTGTGAAAATCAGTATGGAGATACCTCAAAGAACTAGGAGTGGAAGTCCCATTTGACCCTGCTATTCTACTGCTGGGGATCTTCCCCAAAGAATTAAAAGAATCATACCACAGTGATATATGTGCACCCATGTTTATAGCAGCATAGTTTGTAATTTCTAAATCTTGGAGACAGCCCAAATGCCCATCTTTTAAATCTTTATATTATGTGCAGCTTCTGAGCCACTCCCAACCCATTCTCTTCCCTGAGTTTTCACCTCACTGTCATTATTCTGGAATTTGTTTTTCCATACCTGAGAATAGTAAAAGAAATAAGTCTTTCTTACATGGAACACTAATAAGATTTGATCTGTGGCTCTGAGTAACAGAAATTGATTTCTCAGCTCACCCCCCCAACGTGAAAAATGTGTTCAGAATTCCCATGCTTATAAACAGTGGCATCAGGAGACCCACAGAATATAATCATGTCTCAAAATTGGGTAGGATCTTCAGGATTATTTCTAATAACCCACATTACAGTGCATCATATTTTTTATTAATTTTTCAGCCCTCCTGCTTTGCCTTTGAAGTTAACCAAGTCATACACCCAGCACCATGCCTTCCTCTCTTTTCCCTTTCTTGTTTCAATATGTGAATTGTTGATAGTACTGAAGCATCTTTCCTTTGAGGGTTCGACTCATTAAAAAGTGCCAGGGGAGAATCATCTTCTCCAACACATACACTAATTTCAGACAGCCCTGAAATTCAGGGAACAGAGTCTCAATTCCTAGCTCTAAGAAGAAGATTCCCAGCTGGGCTGAGACAACCCCGATAAGATAATCCTGTTACTCTTACCAATGATTAGTTATGAATGGCCATGTGATCTAGTTTTTACCAATACTAAATAAGAGAAGTTCATTTGGAGATTTTTGGGAAAATTTCCTTGCTCTTATAAATAGTGATAATTCCCCTTCTTTTTTGAATATTTTTTCTCTGGATGTTATGACCTGGAAGCACGGGGAGGGGGGATGGCTGCAGATTAAAACTGATATTTAGTTTAATAGACATTTACACTGTTTATTTAATATCTCTGCCTTCCAAGCAGGTAATAGAATTGCAATTCCTGGCCCACTTTTGAATAGGAAGAAAAAGAGACTAGTACTGGTCAACAAGTAGCAAAAATTAAGAGCAGAAATTGTGTGTTTCTGAAACAGAGCTAATTGCTGCTTCCAGATACTCTGGAGTTCTCATTCCCTTCCAACATGGTGCATTCAACAATGTTCTGCATGGGAGTGGCTTTGTCCACATGGATCCTTAACTGACTACAGTGAGGAATGCTCTAGTATCCCAACACGGGCATGTAGTGTGAATAGAATGTACATATACTTTTTTTTTAACTAATAGAATCCAGGTCTGCTGTTCCAGCATACCCTAGCCCATCCTGGCTGATTCACTGAGGTTTCAGATAAAATGCTGGAGCCACTCATGGAACTATGCTCAGGGCTCTCCCAACTCTGGTCTGCTAGTAATGTGAAGTAATTAAATTTCTTTTTGTTGTACCCTATCTGAATCTCTTACATATCGCCACAGCATTCTTCATGAATGCATCATGGATTGTCTCAGTTCTGACTTTCTCTGGGGTTTCTACCTAACTATGTAACTTTGTCAGAATCATATCAGTTGTATGAGTTTCAGTGTTTTTCTCTTCAAAATGGGAACCTAGGTAATATCATCTTTTTCTTCCTCTTCCTCCTCCTCCTCCTCCTTCTCCTCCTCCTTCTTTTCTTCTTCTTCTTTTTTCTGTTTTTTTGTACAAGGGCTCAAACTTGGGATCTTGCGCTTGTGAGGCAGGCAGCGGAACCACTCAGCTACATCCCCGGCCCTGAATATCCTTCTAAGCTCACCTCCTCTCACTCGCTCTTTGCTCCTTCCCTGAAGCTACACTGGTGTTCTTCTTTCTTCCTTGTATTTGCTATGTTCTCTGTCTGCATCCCCTTCCCTCAGATGCAGGCAGGAGTCTTTGTCACACCCTCTAGGTTTCTGTCTAAATATCACAAGAAAGAGTAAACC